GTGAGAGGTTTAGAGCTTTAAACCCAGGTTTAATCCACCATTTTCTAAATAAGAAAATGCCTGTACCAAGTCAGGAATATGACAGTTGTTATCCATTCGTTTGATGTGTTTGAGCTTTTGATTTTGCCATTTGCTTCGGGACCTTCCGTTTCGAATTTTCCTCGGAGTTCAGTATTTTTATGATTTTACTTTTTAGCTCTTTTTGGAAAACTAGATGTTTGAATGTTTTGTCCTTTTGAAAAAAAAGATTCCTTTTTGTAACCATTATGTCTATGATATTTTCAGTCTTTATGTGATAGAGTTCACTTTAAAAGTATAAAGCAAAACATAAGAATTCAAGACAGTTTAGAAAGCAAATGTGTCAAATTAAGGTATAAGAATAAATTACTGTGCCATGAGCATTGTACAAACTCAAAAATTGGTACTGTCAATAGTCCTTTTAAAAATTGCACAAAACATGCTGCTCCCAACCTCTCCAACTGTCTGTATTGGTGAAGTCAGTGCAATCTAACATTGGCTATCTAAAACTATTTTCTTTTAAATAATAGAAACCAAAATAAATTTACTGGCACTATTGTGGGGTCCTGATGACCAGTGAGTACTTAGAGTTAGTGATATTCAAGAATGATCGATGAACATGGTTACTGACCTGGAAGTTTTTGAAAATTCACTAAATTGGAAACCCTAAATATTTTGTCTATATAGGAAACATTTTTTTGTGCATTTTTATACAGAAATGGCACATTTATCCAAAGGTTGTAATTGTTTATTGGACAACACTCTATTAGAAATGGCACTTGTTTTAGTTTCAAATAGAGTGAAACAGTATCCCAATGATCAATAAGATTTTATCTTAACAAAGCAAAGTGACAATTTCATGTTTGAAAATGAGAAGGACTTAATGTGTTTAATGAATTATTAAACATTTGATTGTTTTATATTTTTGAGTTTTTTGAGTTTGAACTCAAGTAAACATAGTTAAAGTCAAAATATATCAAGAAAATATTCCTTACATATAAGGATGTTCGCTTGTCATGTTTTGGAATTTTTGTCTGATTTTCGGAATCCTCTGGTTTTATCTATTTGAATGCCTTTAAAAAATTTGCCCATTGACCCCCATTTTTTTTTTATAAATCTTTTACATGTATAATTATAAGCCATCTGTAAAAGTCTTATAAAATCTTTGTTATTTTTTAATAGTTGTTGAGATCTTAAACTTGTCAATGATAAAGCTATGAAAAATCTAGAGAGAACATTTTCCGCCCAAAATTTCGATGGCTAATATCTCATAAACAAGCTCATTGACCTATATTTTGTTTTGCTCTTTTGGTTCCTTTATTATCCCCTATCAATATATTGAAGTGTTATGAAAAGCTTGTTATTTTGAAACTGAGTAGCGAACCTCCATAATATGTAGATAAAAGAATATGCCAACTAAGATATGCCGTAGGATGAATAACCACAGTTTTCCGATTTAACCTACCACCATATTCATTTATTTTTACCACTTTATATACTACTAGTGCTACTTTCTATAGCCACCTTGTGATTATTTATGGTATTCATAATATGTGCCATTTTATGCTAACGTTAAAAGCTTCTTGCCTTAAATATCATATCAAGTTTTATATAATTATTAGTATACCAAGCTGGAAAATAAAAAGTTAAATTATTACAGTTTTCTTATAAAAAAAATACAAAACTCCCCGTAGTATTCTTTTCTCTAGTGTAGAAGATAATTGGTTTAATCCATGACCAGATCAAACTAGGCTTTAAAATTGGTATGTGCTGCTGGTGGACCTTAATTGAGAATGAAAATGGGGAATGTTTAAAAAAACAACAACCCCAACAACCCAACAAAGGCCAAAATACAGCCGAAGGTCACCAATGGGTATTCAACCTAGCGAGATAATCCCGCACCCGGAAGCGGGCTTCAGCTGGTCCCTAAACAAAAATGTGTACTAGTTCAGTCATACTAAACTCAAAACCATATAAAAGATAAAAGAACTAAAATTAAAAATAATACAAGACTAACAAAGGCAAGAGACTCCTGTCCTGGGACAGGCGCAAAAATGCGGCGGGGTTAAGCATGTTTTGTGAGATCTCAATTCTCCCCTATACATCTAGCCAATGTAAAAAAAAACAGACAGTAATACGAACAGTAGAACGCAGTTAAAAAGAAGTCAGAGTACTATGTCATAATAGGTAAAAAAAGAAACTAATAGGCAAAATGACAATGCTACATAAATTAACAAAGGACTAATAGTAATTAATAATTACATGACGGCTCCAGACCTCAATCAATTACACTGATTGAAAGATTATGACTTCATCATCCTCACACACTATCCTTCCCGTTTAGTATCATACCATTATAAAACAGATGAGAAGAACATAACCAATATCATGCCAATAACTGGTTTTAGAATAAATGTGTTTATTTTCGATGAAAATACCTTATGAGTGAATCAATATTTAGATCAAAGTATGCCATCTTGAATGACATGACAACAGTATCGTAACTATATCCCTTCTGAATTAAGTCTGTTTAAAGGTTTGGTTAGATTTTGAGGTGAAGACTTTGTGAAGAATATTATCATAAAAGATTGGATGTGAAATACCTGAACGTATAAGATGCTTGCATGTTGATTTATATTTAAGAATGATGTCCTTGTACCAGTGATAAAGTTTAGTAAATGTTTTGAATAGTTTGTGATATCGAAAACCCTTGTGTTATAATTTTTCAGTAAAACAGATTTCTTTCGTTAAAATCAGATACGTTGTAATTTACACGAGCGAATCGTCTAAAAATGGATTATTAACAATAGGAAATGAAAAATTATCTCTTTCATCATAAATTTTGGTCTCAAGCTTCCCGTTAAAGATATAGATATAGATGTGTGTTGTTAGTAAAAAATGACCTTAAAGAGTTTGAACATCTATATTTGCATTCTGATTTTTAAATGGCCATTTAATAAGGTGTTTGAATTTTTTTTCTAAATAAGATTATGATGCGAAGTGGTATATAGAGTAGACAATTAAACTTTGAACAGATATGAAATCATAAGCATGCAATTTTTCAAGAATCTTCAACGAATTGTTGACACTCCAAAAGTAATTAATTCCACTATTTTCAAAGGCATTATTTGAACCATTTATTACCAGGTTCTTTATTGTACCAAGTGTAGTAGTAAGTAGAATAATGACGAAATGAATCTCTATTTGTAAGGTGTTTTGTGCAGCTTCGGAAGCCAGTACATAGTTGAAATTTTCATTGTATTTGGTTCTACTTGGAAAGAAGTAGCTAAAAGTTTATGTTTTTACAGAATGATGTAATTTTCGAATGAGGAGTTAGTTTGAATGTTTGTGAATTCGTGATTTCCTTTTGCAGAACCTAAATGTAAAATTTACGTCAAACTATAATGATATTATTTGCAGCCTTATCACTGATATTTAGGTCTTTACTAAGAAATGATTCCAACTTTCGGTCACGAACAATATTAAGGTCTCTATACAACATGGGAACTTTAATACGAAGGTAAGGTATAACTACAAGTAACACATAATCTTAAACCTATAAAAGATTCATGTACATATGGACTAGGTCAGATGAAACATGCCACACACACATATCATAGCATAGCTAGAAATTATCACCTTGAATATGCATTCATTTACTAATGTTTAGTTTATTATTATATTTTGCTGTTACACTACTGCCCAAGGAAAGGCGAGGATTTAGCATTCACAACAATTTTATCCCCGCCACAGTATGGTCCTATCAGACATCCAGAGCTTTTAGCTATTAACTGCTGTATTGGTTGGTTTTATGTTTTTGTTTTGTCATAAATCAGGGTTTTGTTTCTTCTTTTTACATTGATTGTTGATTGTTGGTGTTTTAACGCCACTTTTAAGCGCCACATTTTGGCTTTTTCGTGGCGGCCAGTTTTTATTGGTGGAGGAAGCCGGATCCTTTTAACATGTCAAGCATTTAATACCTTACCTTATGATATGGGTTTTGCTGATTGTTGAAGGCTGTAAGGTGATTTATAGTTGCTTACATTCACTCAGTTTGACTTTGGTGGATATTTGTCTCATTGGCAATTATAGTTCATACTTGTTTTTAATTACTTTTTGCTGCTAGACATTTAGAAATATCAGTAATCAGATATCAGGACTATATGATGGATAGACAGATGGGCATTGCTATACGATAATACTTCCCGTCTTTGACGAACGTATACAAATAATTGTACAATACCACTGCTTTTTTAAAATTATTTCTAAGGTATATTAGATTACGTTACTGATCTCTTTACAGATGCAACATGTTAAAATTGTATTTTTTAAACTAAATCTATTAAAAAAAACTGTCTTGAAACCATGAAATCAGCGTAATATGACATATCCTTTACACTCATCATCTAACAATGAAGATATATAGTACGTTTCTTGCTGAAGTCAACTAATCATCATGGTAAACTATATAAACCCGCAAATTTACTAATTTCCCATTATCACATTTTAATGTTAGGTAAACTATATAATCGATGTCAAAACCATAATTTGTTTAATCATTTAGAAATTTCACATAGTAATGATTACAATTTCATTTTAACTTCCTTAACCAAAAGTTCAAACCTATTATATGAAGGACTATTGAATGAAAGAATGGACCAAAAAATAAAAAACCCTCGCTACCCCAATATTGGTTTCATCAAATAACTGTGTTGAATAAACACCAAGCGGTGTTTTAACAGTACAGGCATGTATCATCACAAGAATATTATAACGCTGCCTCCCTGGTGTTAGATTCGGCCACCAGAGATCACAGGTTACACAGAAAAGGGATTTCTTAACTGGTATTATTTATAACTGTAAAATGTAAGGCCCAACGTCTAATTGGAATACCGTCGAACCAACACACTTTACAGCTTCATTTAACCTATGTTCTACAGGTCTATCTATTGTATATACGATTGAGAAATAAAAGAAATAGCATATATAACAGTTTTGATTATTTATTTGACAATTATAAACGCGGATAATCTGGCTGGACAGGCTCTGTCATTGGTCTGGTTGGGTCCCAGGGTATGGTTGGTCTATCTTATTTAATATATATATATATATATTTATCATATATACAACAATCCAGAGTCACCACTCTGTTAACTAAAACTAATTTAGTTCCAAACTACTGAGGTAGCGTATAACTCGAACAGGCTTACAAATGTGCTTCAATAAAAGAACACTTTATAAAAGTATGTAGCCTTAAATCAACAACATGTATTTCAAATAACTACTTAAAATATTGGTACAATTTACACCCTAAATTGTCACCAAGTATTTACACCCAAATAAATCACCGACTATTTACACCTAGAAAAGTCACCGACTATTTACACCTAGCAAAGTCACCGACTATTAAAACATAAACTTCTCACCCAACCATTTACACCTAGAAAATGTCACCAACTTGCATCCGTAATAAATCATAGTTAATATAGGTGCAATTTCCTTACTTTTCCTATCATACTTAAATTCTCAGACTGTTAAATTTGGCGCTCCGTAACTTTCAAACAACAAACACTCACTGCCCTTCCGTAGTTGATCTTTTCAGTTTTATTTGACTGTCAGATAATCACAGACGCTTTTACATGTGTTCGGCCAATCAGCAGCCATCTCTCTGTTTAGGGAAATTCCCGAAATGGCAAATCAAAATGTAAACATTGGAAGTTTTATGTAAATAAAGATGTTTTCCAGCTTAATATCAATAAGAACCAACATATTTATTCATCGAGAAAGTTATTACACATACAGGATAACTTAGGAACACATGTAAACAGGTTAATATCTCAAATAAAACAACAGAAATAAAGGTACCGGCACTCCGGGATCAAACTTGCAAATTTGTCACCGCGAGTAAATTCCAATCATAACATCATTTGAAACACAATAGAATTAAATCTTGACAATCAATATTAGTACAAACATCATATTAGATAGACTCATTTGCATAGCATATCATCTCACAGACATCTCCGTATTATTATTTGTACTTAATAACAGAGCATATTCAAAAAGAGGGGTGGACGGCATTACAATATTACATTGTTAATAAATGTATGAAATTTAAAAAGTAGCTTTTTACATTTTTTTGAAGCAAAACTGTCAAAAAATAGCATATTGTACTTTTAACAAAAAAGCGTTACCATAATAGAATCTGTATGACCATGTTCACAAACCTTCATAAGAGCTGACGGATCATTCCAGTCCTTTTTCTAATAACAAACAATAACTTTTCTGTGTGACAATTTTCACAAGCAGTCATTTAAGTTGTCTGACCAGTCCCGTCAATTTTATTAAAGTCTACTCCTCTTTTGAACAACATATTTACTATTCCTGTATACCCCTGTTCACATGCTTTGAATACAGAATACTGCGTGTAGCAACAATTTGGTTATTTCTGTATGCCCATTTGACAAGCCTTCACTGTCATTTTTGATGATAGTCTGCACCTCTATCGTATAACATCTCGATTGCTTCTATTTGATCACTGCAATGAGCTACCTATACATGTGACTGATCAGACATGTTGACTTTAATATATTCTGCTCCTCTGTCTAATAAAACGTTTACTATTTCTGTATGACCTTGTTTACAAGCGATCATTACTGGTGATTTATCATCAAAATCACAGTAATTATAGTCTGCTCCTCTGTCTAACAGTAATTTTACAATTTCTGTATGGCCAATTTCACAAGCCTTTGTTAAAGGTGTGCTTCCCTTATCATCAGATTTATTACAGTTTGCTTCTCTATCTAACAACATCCATACAATTTCTGGATAACCATTTTCACAAGCCTTCATAATAGGAGATTGACCTGATATGTCACATTTATTAAAGTCTACACCTTTATCTAACAATGTCCTTACTATTTCTGTGTGACCATATTCACAAGCTGTCATGACAGGTGACTGACCCATTATGTCACAATTATCATATTCTGCTCCTTTATCTAACAACAAACTTGCAACTTTTTCATGACCTTGTTTACAAGCTTTCATAACAGGTGATTGGCCGGATTTGTCCATTTTTTTAAAGTCTGCTCCTTTATCTAACAGCTTTCTTACGATTTCTGTACTTCCATGTTCACAAGCCTTCATTATAGGTGACTGACCAATTCTATCAAATTCATCATAATCTGCTCCTTTGGCTAACAACAAACTTACAATTTGTTCATGACCATGTTCACAAGCCTTCATGAGAGGTGTCTCACCCAAATTGTCACACTTATTCAAGCCAACTCCTCTGTCTAATAACAAACAGGTTATTTCAATATTATTATGTTCACAAGCCTTCATTAGCAGAGACCGACCACTGCTGTCACATTCATTTAAGCCTGTTCCTTTATGTACTAATATATTTACAATTTCTCTATGACAATTTTTTAAAGCATGCATTATGAGGGAAGAACCATCAGCATAATTGGAATTAAAGTATCCTCCTTTGTCCAACAAAATCCTTACTGCACCAGTATGACCATGTTTACATGCATACATTAGAGGTGTCCTTCCTTTTTTATCGCAGTTACTATAGTCTATCCCTTTATCTACCAAGATTCTAACTATTACTGTTTGATCATATTTACAAGCATACATAAGAAGTGATTGTCCGTTATTATTGCATTTTATAACGTCTGCTTTAGTATCTAACAACATCTCAACGATTTCTGTATGGCCACCTTTACAAGCGATAGTAATAGGTGAACAACCATTATTATCACATCTATTAATGTTTGCTCCGCTGAGTATCAGCATCCTTAAAACCTCTTGACGACCATGTTTACAAGAATACAGTACAGCTGACCAACGCCATTTGTTACACTTATTTAAGTCCACATTCCTTTCTAACAACATCTTTACTATTTCTTCATGGCCATTTCTACAAGCACACATTAATGGTGACCAGCCCTTTCTGTTACACTTATTATAGTCTACATTGTTATCTAACAATATTTTGACAAATTCTGTTAGCCCGGTGGAACAAGCCTCCATAAGAAGTGATCTTCCTTTTCTGTCACATTGGTTACAGTCTACTCCTCTGTTAAACAACATCTTTACTATTTCAATGTCTCCATAGACAACACCATGCATTATGGGTGACTGACTCAAAGTGTTCATTTTATTACAGTCTACCTTTTTGTCTAACAACATCTTTATTATTTCTGTATGACCTTTACTACAAGCAAATGCAATAGAAGTCCAACCGTTAAGGTCAGATTTATTATAGTCTACTCCCTTGTCCAATAGCATTCTTACTATGTCTGTACGACCATGTTCACAGGCCTTAACTAGAGGCGTCTGATCCATGATGTTAGATATATCACAATTCACACCCTTTTCTATCAACATTTGTACAATGATTGTATGACCAAATTTACAGGCCTCTATTAATGGCGTATTATGACGATTATCAATTTTATTACAGTCTGCTCCTTTGTCTGACAATGTTTGAAAAATTTTGAAAAAACCATTTCGACAAGCAACCAAAAATGGTGATCGATTGTATTTGTCACATTTATTATAATCCACGCCTTTGTCTACCAGCATTTTGACTATTTCGGTAAAACCCATTTCACAAGAATACATTAAAGCTGATTTACCAGCATTGTCACAATTATCAAAGTCTACCCCTTTGTCTAATAACAACTGTACTATTTCTATATGTCTAAATATACAAGCATACATTAAAGCTGACTGACCATGTATGTCAACTTTATCATAGTCTACCCCCTTGTCTATCAAAATTCCAACTATTTCTGTATTACCATATTCACAATCATTTATTACACGTGATCGGTCTAATTGATAATAGTCTCCACCATTATCTAACAATATCTTGACTATTTCTGTATGGCCATATCGACTTGCCTTCATTATCGGTGACATACCAAGATCATCACATGTATTATAGTTTAATCCTCTGTCTAATAACAAATGCACTATTTTTGTATTACCATGTGCACATGCCTTCATAACAGGTGACTGATCCCAGCGGTCACATTTTTCACAAAGTGCTCCTCTGTCTGCCAACATCTGCACTATCTTCAAATAATTGTATCTACAAGAAAACATAATAGGTGTCCAACCTTTATTATCAGATTTATCGACGTCTACTCCTTTATTTAACAATATCTCTACAATTTCTGTGTACCCATGTTCACAAGCCGTAAGTAAAGGTGTTAAACCATTATCATCAGATTTATTAATATATATCTTTCTGTCTAATAACATTCTTACTATTTCTATATGACCATTTGTACAAGCCATAAGTAGAGGTGACGTTCCGAAATAATCAGCTTTATGACAATTTGCACCTCTATCGATCAGTATTTTAACTATTTCTGTATGACCATGTTCACACGCCTTTATTATAGGGGACTGACTCGAATTATCAAAATCATTAAAGTCTGCTCTTTTGTCTAATAGGAACTTAACTATTTTTGTATGACCATGTTCACAAGCATTCATTACCGGTGAATGACCTGCATTGTCACAATTATTGTAGTCTGCTCCTCTGTCTAGCAACATCTTAACTATTTCCATATGACCATGTATACAAGCCTTCATTAAAGGTGACTGCCCATATGTGTCAAATATCTTTAAGTCTGCTCCTCTGTCTAACAACAGCCTTACAATATCTTTGTGGCCATGTTCAGAAGCTATCATAACAGATGACTGATTACTAAATGTACACTGGTTTACATCAACTTGATTGTTTAAACACCAGTTGATCAAAGGGATATCTCCTATTGAACAACAATTTAACAAAGCAGTAGAATATCTTATATCCTTACAAAACCAAAAATAGAGAAATGCCCTTTGATAAGTTTCGTTATCAAAGGTTTGTGCCAATTGTGTTTGACATGCTTTATCAAGTTTTTTCAAATGTAACAATAGTTTTAATCTGAACTGAGGTTTCTTCATATTAATATTATTAAAAATATTGCCAACATTTCCTTTTGACCATTCATCAATTAATCTCTGAATGTACATCTGATGATATTTAGGAGGAATAATGGTAATTAATTGATCCATGTTCACCTCTTTTTCTAATAAGAATCGATTATTGATCAAACATATTTCTGCATTCTTTATCAAGCAATTTGTTATTTTTTGTCCAAAGTAAACGGCCAAAAAATCAAATATTTTATCATGTAGAGCTGTGTAAAAATATTTGCTTTCCCCAAAGTTGTTTACCTTCTTAACATATGTATTTGTAAATGAGTCAAGTTCATCCTGTATAACAAGAAGGGATACTCCTCGGTCCAGTTTACATGCCTGACATGTGTTCTCGATAACAGTTTTTGTTTCTGGATCAACATCTTCTGTAAATATTTCCTCTTTCAATTCATTGTTAAACATGACACATAAAGCTAAAGCACAGTATTTAGTATAATGTCCCATCTGAAGTAGCTTGTCAATTTCTGATTCATATACGGTAAATGGTTTCTGAAATAATTCTACAACATCAAAGTTAGGATTATCATAATACATTTTACAAAGGAGAGGAAAGCAATCGTATAAATCATAAAAGTCTGTAATCTCAGAGGCTTTTGATTTTAAATAAAGCTCTGCTATTGATTGTTTTTCAACTTTCGACAAACACATTTCCTTTGATAACATATAACATATACATGACTTAAAAATTGATAAAGTATTAAATTTATCATCCTGAAAAACTTGTAATCGACATGCTGCTATTATTTTTGTTTGTTTGTTTTCAAGAATCCTTTTTATATGCTCAATAAGTGACTCCCACTTTTCAATATCACTTTGGTGAACAGAAAACTTTCCACATAAATCATCAACAACAAACAATGTTTTCTTATTCGGATTGTGAAACTTAGTAATGTCAACTGGATCGGACACAAGAATAACATCGTATTTTTCAATTGACATTTGTAAAGCAACATATTGGATTGTTGCTGTCTTTCCTGCACCAGAACTTGCAGTAATAGTTACACAACTATTCTCCTGTATACATTTCAGTACGTGCTGGGTCGCTCTTGTGTTAATAAACATCTTTCCATTGTTCTTCCAGTCTTCAAGTATTTTGTTGATTTGTTCTGAAATATAAAATATGAATTATAGGTCTTCCATTACTGTTGATTTTCTTTCTTCAACTTGTGGTTAGTTCTACTTAACTGTAGCAGCATTATAAATTTAAGCAAGATTTCACACAGTAAAAATGTCACACATTGATTTCATCTTGAAAGTCGGTTATTCGGAGGTTGTACTGCAAGTATACTTAACCTTAACCCAATCAATGGTCTATGTTGATGAGGGCATGGTCAGATAAACTGTAACAAACAAACATGTACACCTTTAAATCATTCTTTACTCCAAATATAGAAAGCCTACTACTTGTAATAATAGAGTATCAGACCTAGTCACGAATATTTAACACTGAACAATGAACCATCAAAAATGAAGTAAAGGTCATATGAACCTTTCAAGACAATATGTTTACCATGCATTTATTCCATACATCAAATATAGTTCACAGATTGGAAATAGTATCTGAAAAACAGACTTAACCACGAAAAATTCACATTTATTTATAAACCATGGAAATAAGCTCCTAGTCAGGATAACCCTTGACTTTACGTCTTTTATATTTAACCACTTCTACATAACTGTAGTTTAAGCTGTGTTCACAATGAGGCTTAAAGAAGTTTGAAACAAGTTTAATTGAAATTTTGAAAATTGATTATAAATAGATAGCGCATATACTCTGGAAACACTCGCAACTATTAATTAACTTTTGAATTTAGAATTGAATGCATGTTAAACAATTGAGTTGTGTGTATTTCAAAAATGTAAACAATACGACTTGTATACACAAAACATGTTTCACACAGTCAGTGTGAACGTGGCCTTTAACTCCTTCGGGCAAATTTTGCCTTATATTTTTTGGCTATTAATTTTTAGATTCTTTTGAGTAATATAGCTCTTTAATAGTTTCGGTTCTTATACATACTTGGCTTTGAGGGATCGTGATCATTAAAACCAGAAAAGCGTTTCGAATGAATATTTATAAAGTGGTGTCTAATTTTTTAAAGCACTGAGTATATACCGTATTTATACTGCTGGTAAACTATGAGAACCCGTGGATATTTATTTAGAAGTCCGTTCATATCCGTAAGACGTACGTCCATAACCGTTACACGTCCGTTCAGCTTTCATTTTATCCGTCGACGTCCGTTCTGTCCGGTGGAAAATTTTGAGCATGTTCAAAATTTTGAACGGACGTCCAACGGATGAAGTGTCCTTTTAACGTCCGATAGTCGTCCGTTTTTAACGGTACTAGTCCGATTTGTATCCGTTACTTGTCCGTTATACATCTGTTGGAGGTCCGAAAGACCGATTAACCAACGGACTTCTATCGGACGTATAGCGGACGTATAACAGATAAAACGTATGATGAACGGATGTGAAACGGATATGAACAGAAGGATAACAGATAAAACGGATACGTACCGAATGTAAAACAAATAAATGCCCATTGAAAATTTCGCGTTAGAAATGCCAAGTATTGGTATGTCAGATATTCTTAATGTCATGAATGATTTTTATTTATGATGGATTGTGGAGTAGGAGCACGTCTTCACTATCAAGCATCTCTTATTTAGACCAGACTGAACTTAAATGTTGCAAATATAAACCTCCTAGACTATAACTATACGTTCGACATCCGTTCTGTCCGGTACCTTTCCGTTTCTCGTACCTTACATATCCTGTGTGTGTCCGTTAGCCATTCGTTACGAGTGTCCGTTTTATATGGTCAGTACACCAACGGACTCCCAACGGATAAAAATTTTGTCAAAGGAAAAAATTTTGTTCATCCGTTCGGCGTCTGTTCGAGCTATCCGTTAAGGTGTGACCGCAGCTTAAGAAACAAAGCTTTCAACTTCCTTAGGCAAAGTTGACTTGAGATAGATTTGGCTAATAATTTTATGTCTTTTTTTGTCATATAGTTCTTCAACTCATTATTTTGTTTCTCTATATATTCTATTTTCGATTTACGACTTTGGCTTTTTTTTCTGATTTGTAGATCTGTTATACATGCTTTATATTTCTGCGTGTTACAGTTTATTTCATTCTATCTTATTTTGCCCCAAAAAAAGCAACAAGAAATAAGTTGCCAAACTGACAGTAAACAGAGTGTATTGTATTTTGAAAGAATTTCAGGTTTGTTTAACCTGGCTTCTCGGTGCCTATATTTCAACTTTTCAAGGACCAAAAACCTGAACGGCGAAAGTGTAAGTCGAGATTATAAACTTGACCTGCATTTGGCATCAGAAACAAAATTAAAAGGTATAGATTGAACAGTTCATGAGTTAGTGCAGGGAAACAGCATAAATTTGCATTTTCTCTAACATATAAAGGACCAGAAAATCGATAATCGAAAATTTTGAACTTGACCTCCATTTTGTCATCCGCATTAGTCGAATGGTTTGTACGTTATTAAAGTCAGTAAGCCTTTCTTTAATTCTTAACGATATCCCGTTAACAGCAGATTTATATATAGATTCGAGCGTCACTGGTGAGACTTTTGTAGACGAAACGCGCGTCTGGCGTAAATTTATATAAAAAATTAAATCCTGGTATCTATGATGAGTTTATTTATTGTACCATAATTTTTGCATATTTCTGATGAAAAAGTAAATGATTTACGGAAGCGTATCCGATGTTGGTCCAATTGTTATAAATTTAATATATGACTTCATCTCCAATGTTAACATAAAAACGTTTTTTTAAGTAGTACTTGTTTTTCTTTTCGTTTTAAAGACTATTCTAATTGAAAAAAATGTATACTATACATAAACACAACGAATATGTAAAGCCGGCTTAAGGTAGATCATAAGTATATATTTTTTGAGACAGAATTTTCTTACAATTTGCCAAAATGAAGATTTTACTATACTTTTTTCAAAAATATAATAAAAAGTATGGGTCACCGTGATATTCTTTGAGCTATGAGTCGTTGAAAATTGCCTAAATTTGGTTAGTTTGTTCATGAAAAAACACATTAGTGTGCATAAAAAAAATTCTATGAGATAGAATTTTGAAATGAATTGTGAAAAGATAGCTTTCATAATATGTTTTAAGAAAATAAAAAGAAAACATGGTGTCACCGAACTTGTTTCCTTGCTACAAGTAAAAATTAAAAATGTCCCTATTAGCCCAGTATAAATTTTGTATCAAAAGAGTTATCTCCCCTTAAATGGCTCATTTGAAAAAAAATTATTTAAAAAAGAAAAAAAAATGATATTTGTTAAAATATTTTGAATTATACAATAACTCAACAAGTTTTCTTTATATAAATAAACAGTCTTACCATTAAATTGCAAATCTGTCTCCAAATTTGCAGATTTGGGCAAATAACTAGACCGATTTTGTACTGTGATTGTACAATCCAAGATGGCGGTATACCATGAATCTACCTTTATACTGATTTTTGTATCTGCCTCATTGATTTGAGATGATTTGTTTATCAAATCGTATGCTGAATAAGCCTTAGAATCATATTTTTACGAACACAAACAGAACAAATCCAAAATGTTCGTCCTCATTTTTGTTTATGGTAATTAATCATAAAAGTTTGCTGAAAATCGTATAACTCACAACATAACAGAACAGGAACAGGATAACGAGCAAGCTTGACTGTTAGAAAAAACTAAAAATTAACGATTTTGATTTCATTAGTATTTTGATTTTTCGTTTTATTGATTTCTCTCTGTTACTGGAGTGCAATAATAACCCGGTTTTTTCCTTGGCCAATCACTTTGATAAGATTCAGTTAGACAAATTCTGCCGTGTTAATTTAGAACGTAGTTTGCTTAAATAAAATTGAGAATGGAAATGAATTGTCAAAGATACAAAAACCCGACCAAACGGCAGAAAACAGTTGAAGGCCACATATAAAAAAAGAAGATGTGGTATGATTGCCAATGAGACAACTCTCCACAAGAGACCAAAATGACACAGAAATTAACAACTATAGGTCACCGTACAGCCTTCACCAATGAGCAAAGCCCATACCGCATAGTCAGCTATAAATGCCCCTAAATGACAATGTTAAACAATTCAACACAGAAGCAGGGTTAAACATGTTTTCTGCGATCTCAACCCTCCCTTATACTTCTTTTCAAAGTAGAATAAACAAACACACAGCAATCCGCACATTAAATCTCGGTCTGTCTCTGAAATTAGTTCTAACATAACTTTTGATTGTTTAACCCTGTATACCACCATTCCCCATGTGAAATTATATTTTTTTGGAAAATACTTTGAACGACAAAATTATTTTATTATTCTTCCTATGTGACGTTTACATTTTCTGACGTCAAACACGCGAAGAAATGAATGTGTTTTTTAAATTTGATAGATGCTTTTGCGCTTTTTTGTTAAATATTTGTTTGTTTTGAGATTGTGACACAGTGATGTCTGCTGTACCCATATTTTGACTATTTTACCTATTATATCTGTTTTGTTCACGCATCGTTGTAAATATAATGGAATTTGATGCGACTGTTATACAAGTGAGAGGTTTAGCGCTATGAAACCAGGTTTAATCCCCCATTTTCTGCATTTGAAAATGCCTGTACCAAGTCAGGAATATGACAGTCGTTGTCCATTCGTTTGATGTGTTTTATCATTTGATTTTGCCATTTGATTAGGGACTTTCCGTTTTGAATTTTCCTTGGAGTTCAGTATTTTTGTGATTTTACTTTTTGCATTGTCGTTTGGTTTTTTGTTTCAATTTAGTGTTTCTGTTGTTTCGTTGTTTTCCTCTTATATTTGATGCGTTTCCCTCAGTTATAGTTTGTATCCCGGATTTTTTTATCAATCGATTTATGACTATCAAACAGCGGTATACTACTGTTGCCTTTATTTTTTTACTAGTATGCAAACTTCATTCTTTTTTCTAACTTAGCTATATAAGTGGTGATAGCTCCGATGAACTTATTTCATACACAAAAAATAATTTTCAGTGAATTTACAAATTAAAACATTATATATGTTTTGGTTGCTCGCAAAAAATTTGTCCAAAACAATGGAACTTTAACCAACTGCAATACAAGTGAGAGGTTTTGCAAACTATAAACCAGGATTAAGCCACCTTCTTCTTTGCAAAATACCTGTAACAATTCAGGAATATGCAAGTTGTGTTTCAGTTCGTTGGTTGATAAAGTCTTAAGTTTAGTTTTGTCAGTTTTCATGGACCTTTTTTTTTTTAATTTACCTTGAAGTTCGGTATTTTTGTTATACTTTTTGACATATTTTGTTTTGTAGCAAGAAAAGGAGATGATTTGTGACCCCTATTTATTTTTATTTTTCTTTAATTTCTGAAAGCACATTATAAAAGCTGTTTTTCCGCATTTAAATTTAGAATTTAATCCTACAGTTTTTTTTTTCTTTTCACATACAAGTTAGTTTTCTTCAATGCTTAATCTGACAATATTGTGCAACCTCTAACTTGAACAATACCTTTATAACCGAATTTTTATTATAATTTTTGAGAAGCATTATAAAAACTCTATTTTGGCAAAGTAATTACATTATGCTATCGTTTTAAATTTAGAACCAAGATTTAACTTTATCAAATGTTTCATGATAAATTGTTTTTGTTGGGCTGCCTTAGAAATCAATGCATCTTGACTATTCAATGTCAATCTAAAATATTCCTAGGAGTCAAATGCAACCATTCTTTATCAAATTTCAGGATTCACATAAGCCTTAGAGTATTCCAAAACGTTTACCTCTAACATTCCTTGGTACTGGGTCCTCCTGGATAGTTTTTATCTTTTGAAGTTCTCTTGTGACACCAGCATGTTCTTCTTGTAACAGTTCATGGGATTTCTTAATTTCAGTATGTGACATCTTTAGTCTTTCAAATGATTCTTTTAGATCCCTGATTTCATCATTAGACCGTTTGATTTCTAGCATTATTTCTTTGTTGGTCTGATCTAAAGGTCTGGTTTTCAGATGATCACACTCCTGCTTCATCTGCTGTCCACCCAATCTATCAATGGCCTGTTAAATATTGCTTGAAAATTAGGTATTTGCTGATTAAGAGCAAATAAAGGCAAACGTAGTATACCGCTTATTTTAATCTTGAACTATGATACATACAAAGACGGATGTGCTAGATGTCAATAATGGGACCTGGTAGGGCAAACTGTCTTTTTGCAGACTGTCACCTTTTCATAAGTTATGAAATATGAAAGTCTAGTAATTAGCACTCAAACTGGTATGTTTACTCCTTCAAAGATGCATCATCATTATTGTTATAATCTTCATCATCAACATAACTATCATCACATACATTTAGTGATCGAATATGTTTTAACATTTTTAGAGTTTTCTGTTTTATTCCCTAGTAATTATTCAAATGTCTGTAAGAATTCATTTAAGCGACAAAAGAGAGACATGATTTTTATGTAAGGACAAACCTAAGATGGTAGAATAAACCAGTTTGTGAATATGGACATTCAAAATTCAAAATCCCCGAAAAAACATGACAGGATGATTGCAAAAAAACAAGTATCTGTTGTACTATCACTCAACATATATATCCAGTTCTAGCATGAAAATGAAGCAGTATTAAGTTGGGAAAAAGTTCATGCACCCTTTATTTCATAAATGAACAGAGATAAAACAAAACACAAAGGTGCATAAAATTATCAAATAGCACTACATACACTAGTTATATCATTCCAAGCAGTATTGAAGAAGGATATGTCTATTTTGCAATAGCCAAGGTGGGCCATATAGTTCCTGTAGTATTTTATTCTGGCTAAATCTGCACCTGGCATTGTTTCCATGGCAGATGGTAAATTGTCAAATCCACAAACAGGAGAGGAAACTGTTGTCAGGTTTCTCAGTAATGTTATCATTAAAGTGACATCAAATGTTTTAGAATCTGGAAGATCTACAAAAAATAAAACATGAAAAGCTTGAAATTGATAAATATAAAGAATCTTAATCCTATAGAAACAAAAGCAAGAAACAATGAAAGATTGATTTTTATATTTGCTTTCCTTTCAGTGGTTAATACCTTATGCATGTGCAGGATAAGAACAATAGTTAGGTTCTGTAATAATATTGATCTGGATAAAGGGCGAGCACTTTGGACAGCCACTTGATGTTTATTAGATACGAACAAAAATTAAGCTTTGAAAGATGCCACCTTCAGACCCCTAAAACAGTTGTTGCGAGAGTTCGTAAAGTACGTGCAGAAAGCGTGGAACTCTATCTACACAAGGTATCATATTTTAGGTATTGAACATATCATTACATTTACTACATTTGGCAAAGTATGAAACAATTATACCATTTACCATTTTTACTCTTATACCACCTTTAAAAGTAAAGAAATCAACGATCAAGGCTATAACTTTAAAACAGGTCAACAGGATATACGGAGCATGTCATGATTATTACTTGTGGGCTTCTAAGTTTTCTTTACTTACTATAACTGTTAGAAATTACCCAAACCCGTTGTTTGACTGCTGTTATATATTTTAGCATAGATATTTTAGCATAAGTTTGTTGGTTGATCAACTGAAAATCACAAACGTTAACGCTGTTGTTTGTCTTTTTGGTCTTTTTCGTTTGATGCCATTTTCGGCTTCAGTTTGAGTGTCCTTTTGGATATCTTTCGCCTCTCTGTTATAGTAGACATCAGATGAAGCAGAGACACATTTTCGTTACAATCATTTAAATCAGTTTGAGAGAAAAGTGAACGGACAACAGACAGATGATAGACACGCAAGGTTCAACAAAACAGTTGACAGACAAAAAGCGATTGCAACAGCTCACATGGCCTTTTGAGCACTGTAGTTAAAAAAAAAGAGATAATTGTGACTAGCATATCATACAGTGAAACCTGTAAAAATAACTAATTCCATTTTGTATGAAGATTGTATGTTGTCTTAGACATAACAGTTCAGTTCACAAAATTTAAATTAACTAATAGTTTGGTTAATAAAGATTGGGAATGAAATAATCAATCAATAACAAGGCTTTGAACTTACCTGGAAAACGAGTGAACAGAAGGTTCCACTGTGTTGCATTTATAACATGTTTCTTTTTCAAGTCTAACAGTTTGTTGTATGCCTTTTTCAAAGAAGAGTCCAAACAAGATGGGTGGAATTCACGATCAAATAAGGCTCTAGCTGCACGTGGAGAAATCCCTGTCAGCAATAAACTCATCCTAACATAGTTTTCTTCCTCTGGAGAAAGAGAAGCCATCTTTTTGAATAGTGTATCCTTTATACAGAAATTCAGACTGTTTGTATTACACAGAGATTTCAACGGACCTTCAAAGCAAACACTGTAGTTGGTTAAGACCTTCTTTTTATTAATGTTGATATGAATAAAATGTTATCACTTTTATACGTCTGACGCTGATATCTCAAATCAAATGTCAAATATTTCCTGGAAAAGAGTAACACATGTATGTTCAGGACTATGAAGGAACATGGTACAATTAAGCTTCAATTTACTTTTGTTAGTGAAAACCATAAGATGTATCCTTCCACCAAGATTGTATTGAAAACCAATTACTAGCGATTCATTAGCAATTTTCGTAGATTTCGTGGGTATAGGTAAATCACGAATTTAAAGGCTAATTAAATTACCAAATTCTACAAGATTATAAGCAGACTTTGGCAAACCACGAAATCAAATATCCAAAATAATATAATTTTTCCTCAATCCACAAAAATTGGTAATTACCTTAAAGCACTTTGGAATCTGGAATACAAAATCATAATTCATAGAATGTTTTATTTAGGAAACAATAAAAGCTAAACAAAAAAAGAATCAAGAAATATATTGATGGCCCAATCAAAGTTATTTTGAAGGACTCATTGATTAAAGTCATATGAAATTATTTTTAGTTTGTGAATGAAAACTCACTTAGTTTATGCATCACTATACCATATTCGAATAACTGTATTACTAATAATTCCAATTCAAAGCAACGAAAATTATACCTGGGTTAATATTTCATGAACACTTACAATGCAATTCAGGAGTCGGTTTCACAAAACCAACTTAGGACAAAGATCGGTCGTAAGTATACTGAATTATTCATGACCTAAGATCAATCTCAGTCGTAAGTTTTTTTCGTGAAACCGACTCCAGCTTGTTTGTTGAGTTAAACTCAAATGTTTCATGGATAATAAAATTGTCTCTACTCTCCAGCCAGTAGCTTTTGTATTTTTGTGTTAAATCTATTTTTAATTATTAATAATTGGTCTCAATACAGAGGACTTATGATGCAGCACCTTTAGTGTCTGCATATGTTTGCTTACATTTTAGAATTCGATACATATATATAAATCGATATAGGATTAATGCATGCAGTGCTGTCAATGATTTCCCTTCAACAAGTTTTAAATATATAAAAAAATAAATCATACATAAGTTCAAATATGATATATGTCCGTACACCTTCTTTGATATGGTTGACTTGAGTTACTCATCATGAGATTTTCTTAATCATAGTCTAGCACTTTTTGAGAACAATAAATGGTAGCATAACATGTTTAAACAATATTATAAACTGAGTTATCTACAGGCTTAGGTCAACAGTAAAAGGAGGAACGACATTTTGCACACGACTAGCAGATTTGTTTTATATTATCGATCGGTCGCAGTGATGTTGTGTCATTTATAACAAGCAGTTCGTTGTGTGAACATTACCTTGGCATTTCAAATTTGTTGAATGAGATTAAAAACATCAGCAGTTATATACAGTTGTAGTGATGATACGATATGCATACATAACAAACGTAATCGGTAATTGTCAGTTTTTGTCGGGAATATACATATGTATCCCCTTATTCAAAAAGTAAAATACCAAAAATACCGAACCCCAAAGGTAAAGTGGGTAGTCCCTTATCAAATCGCAAAATCAAAAGTTCTAATAAAGGAAGTAGTAGTATACCACTGTTAAAAAGTCATAAAACTGAAACAAATCAGGGTCACAAACCAAAACCGAGGGAAACACATCAACTATGAGAGGAATATAACGAAACGACAGATACACTGAACTGCTGCAAAAACGAACGCAAACATACATAGAAGCAGACTACATGATAACAACTGCCATTTTCCTGACTTGGTACATGACATTTAAGAAAAAATGGTGTGTTGAACCTGGTTTTATGTCTAGCCAAACCTCCCGCTTATATGTCATTGTAAAAAATACCGTGAAAATGACAACCTTACATGACAGGAATACAGTACAAATAACGCAAGAACACTCAGGACAGATAAATGCATAAATAAATAATATAAAATTACATTTAAACATGTAAAGCACAGAATAACAACGGACACCTCCCATGTACACCACAATAAAACTATGAAAAAGTAAAATATCAAAAATACCGAATTTCGAGAAAATTCTAAACGGAATTTCTCTAAGCAAATGAGAAAATCAAAAGCTCAAACACATCAAACGAATGGATAACATCTGTCATATTCTTGACTTGGAACATGCATTTCCTTACGTAGAAAATTGTGGTTTAAACCTGATAATTCCCGCGTGTTTTTTCGTATGAACATTTATTGAATACTGTTTATTGAATTCATTTAATTGATTTCAGTTTATATTCGGGACAAAATTTCAATAAATATTTATATAGTTATAAGTGTTTCCCATCTCGGAAATTCCCCTTGATAGCTTTCAAATTAAAACACATTGTTTTTAAACATTGGCAAACACTTATTAAGTTCCGATTTTGATATTACTTTTCCTGTTTAACTTATAAATGTGTACAGTTTTAATGATTTCTATGAAAAACATTGATGACATGTCATTACTATATACACATATTGAAATAAAGTGCAATTTATTCATTATAAAGCCATATAATTTTTTCGTGCAAAAACTACTCATAGTTTTTAAATCATTTAAAGATACAGTCAATGGCTGCCTCATATCTTGACCTACATCTAGAAATTGACAATGAGGGTCGTTTGAAAACAAAACGTAACGACAAAGAGTATGATTTCAGCTTCCCAATTGTGAACTTTCCAAATTTATATATCAACATTCATCTAGCGTCTGCATACGTAGCATATATCTCACAACTGAAACAATATAACCGGGCTTGTTTTTCCTATCATGATTTCCTTGATAGAGGTAAGCTATTAAACAAAGAGTTCCAAATGGTGAACTTGAAATCATCTTTCGTAAATTTTACGGACGCCATCACGAGCTCGTTGACCGTTATGAAATATCCGTTTCACAGATGATATCGGATGTGTTTTTTATGTCGTAATTACAATCCCGTTCCCATTTCATGAATTTGACCTACTGAATTAGACAATTTACCGGGTTTGTAATAACATGATCAACACGACGGATGCCACATGTGAAGCAGGATCTGCTTACCCCTCCGGAGCACCTGAGTTTCCTGTTGCTTAGTCTTTAGTTTTCTATGTTGTGTCGTGTGTACCATTATTTGTCTGTTTGTCTTTTTCTTTTTTAGCCATGGCTTTGTCAGTTTATTTTCGATCTATGAGTTTGAATGTCCCTCTGGTATCTTTCACCCCTCTTCAAAACAGAATTATTTCAAGAAAAGGCAAACATTTCTGTACTTAATAGAAACAAAATTCATTTGATTCGAACAAGAAAAAAAGCGAGTGGAATTTGTATTAAAATATGATTTTATACGAAACAAAGTTTTCAAATGGTGCAAAAGTTTTAACTACTGGCTGTGTGTTTAAAATGTAAGAATATAAATCTCTGTAATAAAGTCTGTGTGTTTTATGTGATTTGCCAAAATATATTCTCATTTAACATGAAATAATGGAATTAAACAAAAATGAAATATATGTGACCAATATAACCTTATGGTATGTGTAAATAATAACGTGTCTATTTTATTCATTTTCTTTTTTGATTTGATATAATTGAAATTTGACAATTTTATATTTCACTTCCTCAAAAAAGGGTCATGGACCGTAAAAAACAATATGCTTTATCTGTTATTTCTTAAACTTTATTTGTTACTGTATATATTTTCTTAATTTAGTAAAACTCTTGTCAAGTAATTCATGTTTGAATGAAGCAAGTAGTACATTTTTGTACGTAAGCACTGCAAGAACAAAAATATTAAGTTGAAGGCCGTTCGGTAACCTATAGTTGTTAATATCTGTGTCATGTGGTCTCTTGTAGAGAGTTTTCTCATTCGCAATCATACCACATCTTCTTTTTTTTCTTTTACCTTAATTTCTCAACCTTTTTTCTAACATACTAAATGTATTCATATGAATTAATAGTTTGATAACTCGTTTGAAACATGCCATGCTGGTACGTGGACGAAATAAACTAGAGGCTCCAAGGAGCCTGTGTCACTCAACTGATATTTTTATTTACAATTGATGCATGAAATAATGCAACCGTTATACATTTGCTTTAGTTTCAGATATATAAGTCAAAAACTGCATTTTTCCCCTATGTTCTATTTTTAGCCATGTATGCCATAATGATTGGCAGGCAGGGTCATCGGACACATTTATTGAACTAGAAACCTTGATGCGGAGTGTGGCCAACTTTGGTTAAATTTGTCTCAGATGTTTCAGAGGAGAAGATTTTTGTAAAATTACAAAATATGACGATTTTGTTTTAAAATCTAACTTTAAAGGGCAAAAACTCCTTGTGGGGTCAATTGACCATTTTGGTCATGTTGCCTTATTTGTAGATCTTACTATGTTGAACATTATTGCTGTTTACAGTTTATCTCTATCTATGATAATATTCAAGATAATAACCAAAAACTTCCTTAAATTAACTTATTCAGGGAAAGCAATCAACAACGGGTTGCCCGATTCGTCTGAAAATTCCAGGACAGATATTGATCTTGACCTAATTAACAAATGTACCCCTTGTAGATTTGCTCTAAATGTTTTTGTTTCAGAGATACAAGCCCAAATCTACATTTTATCTCTATGTTCTATTTTAAGCCATGGCGGCCATCTTGGTTGGTTGGCAGGGTCATCGGACACATTTTCTAAACTAGATACCCTAATGATGATTGTGGCTAAGTTTGGTTAAATTTGGCACAGTGGTTTCAAAGGAGAAGATTTTTGTAAAAGTTAACAGACGACGGGCGACGACGGACGACGAACGCCAAGTGATTAGAAATTCTCACTTTGCATAGTGGGCCAGGTGACATAAAAAAGGGTGTATGGAAATATAAAACTAAAATAATGGTTAATCAAAATTGGAAGCTTTACATTAAGAAAATGAATATAACGATATCAAACTTTAAAGGGGGTATTCTTCGCTAACCACATATTTCTGTATCCTTCATCATTATTTTCATGATTGCAAGTTTTGTATGACTTAGAACTGATTAAAATCTAAAGCTTGTGAATTGTTCCTGTTCAGATACTTGTACACAATTCGTTTCCTTTTCACATATCAGGTTTTCCTTTGTAAGTATCTGATGATCTTCTTCATTCCTTTATATTATATTCCCTCAATAGTCGGAGTACACACGCTTTACCAAGTAGAGGTTGGTAAATACTAAAATCAATAGGATAGTTAAATATTATGACTTAGTACTGTAATATGTGAAAGTATTTACTGTAACGGAAATAGGTCTGACTCAAATTGTCGCCCTTAATATTGTTTGTGTATTTATATGCATATACATTTCTCCTTGGTTGGAACACCATCTGTTACATAAAAACTTCTGTATATAAATGTAATTGTTTTCAGCTCACACAACTATTACGGTATAAAACAATAATCCAGATATAGAATATCAACCACCATTGAAGAATTTTTGGCATTCTTTCCATTGTTAATCATAGTCCAGCGTTATATTATGTCAGATATTATTTACCTTTTTGAGTTTACATTAGAGTTCGGTTGTATTGTTGAAACTTGTTTACCTAGTGTCTATGGTGAGTTTCTATTACGTGACGATTCTGATTGCGTACTAAATTTTAAACCTGGTATCTATAATGAGTTTACCTGTATACAAACATTTCAAATTTTGGAGAAACGTAAACACACCCTTAATTCTTTGCGTTGTAAACATGATAAATTCGGCGTGCATTTCTTTCGAACACAAACGATGCAAACGGCTAAGCGCGCACATCGTTTGATCATTTGTTTCTAACATACGTTTGCAAAGTTTATGTAAACTATGCACTCGCTAAAAATGCGTCTACAGTTTGTCGTTCGTCGTTTGTTAGTACAAACGCTACATTTGTTTCTAATTTCAACTTTGAATCAATTAATATCTGCACGTGTTTTTTCCGCTTAAAACAAACATTAGAACAATTTGCAAAAAGACAAACAATGCAGTGAAATCTTCACTCAAGTGCCTATCATAGCATATAAATTTAACAAAAATATTAAAGAATACCTTGCTAAAACAAGGCAAAAGTTGGGAGACTTTTGAAAGGGACCCATGGTCCAAGGACACAGTTATCGTCCTTTACGAATATAGTCCCTAGTGTAAACAGTGTATACCCCTCAATTTTTTTTCATACACTTTCCTAATTTATTTCTTTATACTTCATGCATGAAATATTAAGGAAGGGGATGAAATTACTTGTTTGAATAATTTGGGTGCTGAATCTTTATGTTAAGTAGTGATTTGGTCTAGTTAAAAAAGGTCAAAAGTTAGTATGTCTGAAACTGTCAAAATGAATTTTAGACCCCCTTAACACAGAATTATCAATATTTTCAATTCGAGCTGGTAGACTTTTCTATAATTTTAATACAATTTGTCCCAATAGTAGTACACTACACTGTAAAATTCTTTTTGAGATAGAGAAGGTGCGATTTATTTTAACATGTTTAATTTGAATGTATATTCTTAAAGAAATGTACTACGAAATAACTGTGTTCTCGGGCCCCATGCTTTAACAGTATAAGCGAAAATTCCGAAACACTGTAAGTTATAATCTTAATCATAGGCAACACACTTGCATACGTTTGAAATAGAATAAATGGTGTAAAGTCTTGAGATTTATTACGTTTGCTGGTTGAAGGCAACCGCATTTAATAATAGCATTATTGAAAGTTCAAACAGGGTCCGTAAACATTGATTAAACAATGTATTTGTTTCTAATTCAGCGTTTAGCAAACGATAACAAACGACACACAACGTTTACCAACGTTTGGTTAGAAAGAAAGTTTCGGTCAATTTTTTCCCTGTTTTATAACCATTTTATAGCATAAGTTACTTTGGTCGCAATCCCTGATCTGGAGTTTGTGCTAGAGATTCAATATCACCTTTGATTTGCAGAACATTTTGGATCGTAGTTTTATGCCAAAGGCTTTCAAGACTAAAAAATGCACTTTAAACATAGCATGTGCAGACTGTGGATTGTATAATGTACTCTTATGAATAGATACACATATGTTTACATACAGTACATAAACGTTTACACTTTTCTTAAAATAGATACATGGGTTTAAGAACTAAACTGTGACCTTTTATATTTGAGTTGAAATTCAAATCGATTTACAGGTAAACAAAATTGCGGAATAATCATATGTTTTATAGATACAAATTTGAGGGAAAAGTATATTGATTTCGTAAATGTTTTGTGCATGCTGTGATGTTATTATAAAAATACCGGTAAAACAAATTCACTGTAATGTTGTTGAAGGTTAATATGTGCCATAGTGAATAAATGCAAGTCGACCTCTCTATCATTTAGGCTCACGTAATGTCTTGCTCCTTTAGCTAAGACACTTATTCCAGCTTGTCTCATTGATGTCTGATAGTTTCAAAGTGTTGCATGCATGAATTATTTTCTCCAAATAAACAACAACAAAATAAAGGAAATTGATATTAAAAACTATATATACAACATTGATTTCATTATTAACCAATAATACATAGAACAGCATGTTTATAGTGATAAGATAATACAAAAAGTTTAAGTGGAAAGCAGGCGCCGATTTTTCAACATTTCAATTTTTCCGTTTGATTTCCGGATAAATGTCTTCTTATTGGAGTTCTATTGATAATCAGATATCAATGGATGAAAAGGACAAAAACGAATTACTTGGCTTTCAAATGTGTCCATTCGCCATTAATAATAATATACTTTATAATCAGCAAACTTTTAATCAGAAAGCATTTTGCTCTGACTCGATGTAAAGCGATCAATTTAATCGCGAGAGGTTTGAGAAGTTTATTTTCTTGTTGAAAAAACAGTGATTACAACCCTGTCAACTTTGATACTGTGAGTTACCATTCCGCTCGTTACACGCTGTGTTCGATTCTGCTCTATCTTAATTGACAAAAATAGCCAGTTAAGTGTCGAATGTCTGTGTTTCTCTCCGGGTTCTCCAGCTTCCTCTACAATCATAGTTACTTTCTTTATAACTGTCCTAATCGGGAATATGACACAATCGATAAAATTAGACGACTATACTAGTATCTATAGATCTCAGACAGCGAAAACATGTCCGTAGTGAGTTGGGACACCGAATTATTGAATCGGTCAACAAATTTATAAGACTGGTGTAGTGTCGGTTTCAATCTTGTTTCCTTATGACTTTGTTTGAGCAGTTGTTGTGTAAGAATAACACCCCTGTTTATGAACATTCACGAGCGTACTGTACTTACTGATATATATATATAACTGTCGTCACCGTTAAAATTTTAGAATTGTGCTAGTTCATATCGCTCATTATTGTTTTTATTTAAAGCATATATTTGAACTCTCTGTTGTAATTAGCCATATAACCTATGTCATGTTTAACACATTTTTAGAATGGCGCAAGCGTCTTAACTGATGTTCTGTTTGACTTTTTTATTGTATAAATTTCAAGATTGTTATAGTTTAATCTATGTAGACTGACATATGATTCATTTAACATCACTAGCATGCTGATGAGGGGTGTCTGTTGTCCGAAATATTTATTAATAGTTACATTTGTGGTTTCCTTTTTTTGTTATTGGTGTTGATGTGTACACTTTTTAGGCGTTTATATAATTTGTTTATTGTGTACATGTATCGTTGCTCGTAGCGATCCGGCGCCCTCGTGGGAGGAATCGTTGACTGTTGTTCAGACGTTTTATATATATTTATATATTCAAAATGCAAGAGTCGTTCCAAAATTGAGGTAAGTTATATGGCCTTCCAAATACCGTTTCGATTCCTAACATCACTGAAGAGACATTAATTGTCGAAATCCGGATATGGTGTACAAATTTTTGCACCTCATGTTTGCGTTATACCATCTTTTCCGCAAGTATATTATTTTCTGTTTAGTAATAAATTAATGATAAGATCTATTTTGTTACTTCTTGTGATCCGTTTATTTGGCAATCGCCAATGGCAGTCAGTAGGGTTCAAGAACATCAGTTGTTCGACCTGCTAGTCAAATGCGTTTTGTTAAAATATACTTTTTCACTCATTTGGTCTTTTGGAAAATGTTGTTTGTGCTGTATTTAGACCCCTCTACCAATAAGTTTGTTTTGCATGCACACGTATAAAAATTGCGGTTTTTATCCAACGCAATCATAGGTTTGAACGTTGTTTTCAATTTAGACTTGTCTATATTTTTTCGTTTGGGCTTGTATTATATTTGCCTTCGGGTTTATATGATCCGTTCATCCTATTTTGACTCTTTCGAAATTCAAGAGTCTTTCCTAAATTGAGGTAAATTATATGGCCTTCCAAATACCGTTTCGATTCCTAACATCACTGAAGAGACATTAATTGTCGAAATCCGGATATGGTGCACAAATGTTTGCACCTCATGTTTGCGGTATACCATCTTTTCCGCAAGTATATTATTTTCTGTTTAGTAATAAATTAATGATAAGATCTATTTTGTTACTTCTTGTGATCCGTTTATTTGGCAATCGCCAATGGCAGTCAGTAGGGTTCAAGAACATCAGTTGTTCGACCTGCTAGTCAAATGCGTTTTGTTAAAATATACTTTTTCACTCATTTGGTCTTTTGGAAAATGTTGTTTGTGCTGTATTTAGACCCCTCTACCAATAAGTTTGTTTTGCATGCACACGTATAAAAATTGCGGTTTTTATCCAACGCAATCATAGGTTTGAACGCTGTTTTCAATTTAGACTTGTCTATATTTTTTTGTTTGGGCTTGTATTATATTTGCCTTCGGGTTTATATGATCCGTTCATCCTATTTTGACTCTTTCGAAATTCAAGAGTCTTTCCTAAATTGAGGTAAATTATATGGCCTTCCAAATACCGTTTCGATTCCTAACATCACTGAAGAGACATTAATTGTCGAAATCCGGATATGGTGCACAAATGTTTGCACCTCATGTTTGCGGTATACCATCTTTTCCGCAAGTTTATTGTTTTCTGTTTGGTAATAAATTAATAAAAAGATCTATTTTGTTACTTCTTGTGATCCGTTTATTTGGCAATCGCCAATGGCAGTCAGCAGGGTTTAAGAACATCAGTTGTTCGACCTGCTAGTCAAATGCGTTTTGTTGAAATATACTTTTTCACTCATTTGGTCTTTTGGAAAATGTTGTTTGCGCTGTATTCAGACCCTCTACCAAGAAATTCGTTTTGCATGCACACGTATAAAAATTGCGATTTTTATCCAACGCAATCATAGGTTTGAACTTTGTTTTCAATTTAGACTTGTATATATATATATTTTCAATTTAGACTTGTATATATATATTGAAAACAACGTGTGTCATACACTTATCCGGAATTACCCGTAACCCGGAAATTTTCATTTATCCCATTACCCTTAACAAGGGAACAAACATATTCTGTAATATTTTTTCAACAAAGCAAAATTTTTTGTTAAATAGATTTACAGTAAACTAATAAGCATTTATCGGTATATAGTATTTCGATAATTTTTGAATAATGCACAAATATTGAAATTATTCTTATTTGTAAAGGGAGAATACAT